AACATGCACGTTGTATTCGGGAGGATTGTAGCTCAATATCACACCGCATTAGCGAGGGGAGGCTGATACATCAGTACAAAATAGTGCAGTACTTTGCTTTCAAATGCGAACACTACTAGTCCTGTACTTCTGCTGCGTTACATCCTTCTGCTTCCGTTCCCCATGGAATATTCTTCAAAGGGTTCTTCAGGAACCGCACAGATTACTTCGTCCCACCATTGCCGTATCATCGCTTCTTATCAAATTCAGAAAGGATTCATTGATGAAGATGGTAATGGAGAATAAAATCAGGATTTCACGGCAAGCATTGATTGTCTAGAGGAAATGGGCATCGAAGCCTGGAAGCTGCTCACATTTGAGAAAAGGCTCAGTGATCCTGGGAAGTAGAGTTGGAGTACTAAACTAGGAATGTCCGGAGAATGCTGCTACCGTAAAGGCACATCCGCAGATGGTGGCTGAGGCAGTCCTCCAGAGTTACCCGAAATTGCAGGACGTCTATTTCTCCTTACAGCAGTACTCGCGCCTTTGTGGCAAAGATGACTCATGACAATTTCGAAACGTCAAAAGGTCTAGGAGCATAGCTGGAGAGCGTAATCCCTTATGCCGTACTCCGAGGACCTACTTCATTCAGTTACCATCTGCTCTGAGCCCAAAGTATGCAGTATCTACGAGAGCAGCAACTCTATGGCTGTGCCTGTTCGAGGAACTACTTACTGTAGCGAGCTTCTTCGATATCTAGACCACGAGAAGAATGACAGAATTTCACCGATAGCAGCTGGGTTTACTCCGTTGACTGAACTCGTGTTTCATTTGATGAAAAGTTTTCTCAGAAATGAGCAGGTGTTGCAGGACAGGGTTTATTCTGATAAATTTTGTATCCCTGAAAAGCATCGGGAAGGGAGCGTTAGCAGATTTTGCTCATCTAATTAGCTCAGTGTCGTCGAACGACGTTGCCATCAGTGGAAAGCAGGAACTGCGACTGTCTCGGGTCTACCATTTAGTCTGAGCGTTTATTAAAATCAGTATTACATCGGTTTAACACGATGTTCAAAAGCCGTGATCTGCTGTGCTCGAGCTTTCTGACTCCTGCTCGTCTATGAGCTATTGCTGTTGCTCAAGATAAAGCGATGGAATGCTGCTGACAAACTGCGCAAAAATAGGTGGTGTTGAGTGATTCTTGTTCAGTGTTCAGTAGCCATTTACGTGGCAGTTGAAGTGGGCTGGACCGTGCGCTCCGAGCGGGAGCACCCTAAGCAGCGTTCAAACTTCGCGACGGTAGCCTTCGGTCGCACGTTACGCGATCGATCGAGCATGCTTTCAGCAGCGTCGATCGCGTCAAACGCGCGACCGGAGCGCTGCTGTCGCGAAGTCTGAACGTTGCCCTACGTTGCAAGTCTATAGCGCACAGCATTTTCACAAAACGAGAGCGGCTTACCTTGTATTGCTTCGAATCTGCGGACCACATACGAAGGATGACAGGATGACACCGCTGAGTGACGAATATTCTAGCCTTTGGATATTTGACCTATATGCTTTTTCGGACATTCTTGAACTCACCTGTTTTTCACGAACCTTTTAGAACCTGAAGATGGGTAGACCAATAGATTCATTGTCTGAAAATGTTCCTCCGCTAGAAATTGCTGCTGCTTTAGGTTAGAGAGTTTCAGTTGCAATCAGTGTTATAAAGAAAATGTCCTACGGTTCATAATTCTGTTCGAAACAACCAGATGATTGAAGCTTTTGGTATGAAGGTGTCGATCAGGGAGCCTCGTAGAACAGTGATGTTCTCTGCTTGGGGCATGTAGGGGCATATCAACTGATGAGTAGGTGAGGAGCAGAAAGTACCACTTCTAGACGGGTTTTTTCAACAAAACGGGTTAGCAAAGTTGGCAGTGATACATGTGGTAAGCGAGAATCATGTTTCCCATCCAATTTCGTTTATTCTGTTGTATTGGAACTTTCTGATTGGTAATGGGGTGAATGGGAGGCCGCGTTCAGACTTCGCGATCGCGCGACTACGACTGAGAGCGCTCCACCGCCAAGTGGAGCGCTGCCGCAACGGCAAAATTCAAACATGCCCGCGTTTACACACTGCCAGTTTGAATTCTGCCGTTGTGGCGGTACACAGTTTGGGGATGGGGCGCTCGCCTCGTGCTCGCGTGATCCGACGGAGCGATTCGATTGCGAAGTCTGAAGCGGTTTTGCTGTTTCTTTATATTTGCATATTACCAAACCACCCATTTTGAATGGCGAGTTCTTTCGACCATATTGTGATGTGAAGGGGTTTTCAGAAGCGGAAAGAGTAATGCGAAGCGTAAAAGAGGTCGGCCTCGGAAGAATGCAAAAAACGCGTCGTGAGTTATAGCGTAATCTAAAGTCGGTGCCGGTTGTCCATAGGTCATGGTTAGATCTTTTGAGAAACTAGGTTTGGATTTCTGTTCTGGTAAGGAACTGAGTTGTAGCGCCATACTGTATTTCCTCAACTCTTTCAGTACATTTACTACATGTTCAACTTCAGTTCTGGCTTTAGAAGTTACCTGCTTCTGTAGTCAACATATCTGTAAAATCTGTCTGAAATGGAAATTCCAGGGATTTCGATGAAGCGAAGGAAGAGCAGGAGGGCTTGGAGGTGCTGGGAGTGCTTAATAACCGTAGGAACCGACAGAGTAGACGTGCACATCGCGAAGCTGATGGAGGTAGGTACTTGATGTAAAGATGTACTGATTTACACTTATATTGATATTAATACTCTGTAAGAATTATTTTCATCACGGGAGGGGGTGGAGAGAAGCATTCCTATAGTTTGTGGGGAACGGTACGAGCGATTTACGCCGGAATGATAATTTTCAATCACTTGTTTGGGAGTCAGGACATTCGCTGTTACGCCAAAATAGTCGCTGGTCAACTTGAAGGTACAGAATCAAATAGACACAGTGAAGTGCTCATCGGGTATTGATGGTATTCCAGGTCTGTTGCTGGATACGGTGAGCCCGCGAAACTTCAAGAGTTGTTTGTTAGGCAGCATTCAGACTTGTAGCGCTACAGCGTCGCGCTACAGCGCCGCTTCGCAACGTACTGCTATTTCCAACGTTAGGATGATTAGAGTTGCTTACAGAGAAAAGTGGGAAGGTTGCTGGAGTTTTTCTTGAGAAATTCACGGAAAGGTGAGACTGATACAGCTGTAACTATCTGACCATCCTTGACAGTTACTCCATTAGTCACTATTTTTCTGGTACTGCTTTTAGCGTAACAGTGTCCTTCTGTCCTATTAAGAGCATTTTCTGCAAAAAACACCCAAAGAGTACTCGCGCCACCTAAAAACACGCACGCATGTTTTTTTTACCGGAGACACAAGAACCATAAAGGAACTTCTTGTTGGCTGTGAATGCCTCGAAAACCGGCATAAATCTTTTTCCTGTGATCCAGGCAGAGATTGGGGGCAAACTCGAAAAGCAGATTTCGCTCCATAATCGATAAGCGGCATTGGATTCTGTATTCATTCTTTCTGTATTCAACCCTCTTCTCTTTGTTTCTCATATTTATCTGATAGTGAGCTCCTGTTTTCTACTTTATCACATAAAACCAATTATCACAGTCTTCTGTATCAAAAACTACATTAAAATGTGATAAAGTAGAAAACAGGAGCTCACTATCAGATAAATATGAGAAACAAAGAGAAGAGGGTTGAATACAGAAAGAAAAAACATAAAAGCTGGAGTTCGGTACAACTGTAGCGCTACGCTGTAGCGCGACGCTGTAGCGCTACGCTGTAGCGCGACGCTGTAGCGCGACGCTGTAGCGCGACGCTGTAGCGCTACAAGTCTGAACCGCTGCTTTAGAAGGTCATTTCATCTAAATATCTAGAGAATAGCTTACGGTTGTTGAAGAATTCTAACTTTTATGTAATGTGCGAAGTCTAGTGAATCTCCATATCCTTCTAAGGGAAATAGCGCCGACTGGAATACGGTTGACAATATTGAAAAAAAATAAATATTTCCGAAATAACACAAAGACATCCTCTGCGACGCGGTGCTCGAGAATGTTCAAGGGCAGGGTATACCGAGCGACGGTGAGGCCTGCTTCAATCCACAGACAGCTTCAATCCAGCTAAAGACACGAGAGTAGCGGCTGCGGTGGTATGGACACGTAATAAGAAGGCCCGAGGAATATCCCATAAGGAAGACTGGTTTTCGAAGATCAAGCCAAGCGACCCCGAGGAGCCCTAAGGAAAAGATGGAGGGACGTCATCAAGAAGGACCTCACTGAAGTGAAAGCCACGGCAGAAGATGCAGTGGATCGGAACAAGTGGCGACGTCTAACAAGAACAGCGGACCCTGCGACGGCGCGGGACTAACGCTGGGGAGAAGAAGAGACGGCACATAAAGGGCTGTAGATTAGGGCAGCCTTTTCTAGCCACTGATGCTTGCTCCAAATAGCATCAGATAGCATCAGTTGGTGTAGAATGCTGCCACGGCTGTCCGCCACTGCACACCCCTCACGCCCCTCAGTTTGCTGGGGTACTGAATGGATATCTACTCGCTTGTTTTTTGTTGTTCCGAAGCTATGTCGTGGTCGAGCGTGCATAAATATGGCTCATCACTATGAATCTCATTTCAAAGGTAGTCCTGGAGAAATCATCCTGTTTTTGCCTTGCATTTATAGAAAGCTCATGTTGTGTGCACTGGTCCTTACTACAAGCTCTAGCTAAAATTGTGGGCTGGTTTGCTTTTGCGGGGGGGGGGTCATTTTGCGCTTGCCATCGACGTGTCGACTCATTTCGAAAGCCGCTTCATGAACTTAGAAGGGTTGACAGGGCTCGTTCCAGGTTAACAAAAGTTCATAGGTTCCTTCAGAATGAGACTGTAAACCCGAACTAATTAAGCAGCGAAAGTGTCAAATGTCCCCCCCTCCCATCGCCGAACTGCACCGATATTTCTTTTGGTCCGCCTATGGTTGTTGAAAATTGTTTCTTTGATAACGCGCGTGGGATTTCAGACGACATGAATGTGGTTGACATGGATCTATCGCGTCCGTCGTCATCCGTGGTTTCGTCGCATCGGCCTCGTAATGGATACCCAGTACAAGAAGAGTTTGTAATGTCAGACGATGATGAACCCTATTCAGTCCATGATCCAGACGATCTTGAGTGCAGTGAGCGGAACTCTGTAAGTCTGCCCTCAAGTATCTTTTTTGCCACTGGTCAAAAGTAATTTTGTTTTAGATTACTCGTAACAATTTGCCATTGATCCCAACTGAGTGTGGCAGCGTTACAGAAGCGCTGCATAACTTTGTGGTGGTTTTTGAATCCAGGTAAGGTGTTATTCTTTTGATGAGGTCGTAGTCTACCATCGCCACCTTGTTGAGCACAATTTCTCTCAGTAGAGGGGACATTTTGTGGATATCTGTGAATATTCCGTGGAAATGATGCGGCTCATATGATACGGCCGGTACGGAATGATACCAGTTTCACTCTGAATGGCCACGAGCAGTAAGCGCTTCTTTGCAAAGAGATTCACTGTTAGACTAGAGCGGTCTACTAATGAGCTCGATCTAGGAAGTACTTGATTGGCTGAGAAAGCATCGAACTGCCCCTAAAAAAACTACAGTTTCACGCTAGAACTGATCTGCAACAACACAAGAAGTTTTTTTGCTACTCGAGAGGCTCGTGGAATACATAAAGGAAGCTGAATGCGTGTTTCGTTACACGCCCACGTATAAAAATGCTGCGTTGCAAGGCTCAAATACTAATCGGAAGATAGTAAATAACACCAAAAGGAACATATCAGAGTGTAGTGCTTGCCAGAGTCTCATTATTGTGCTTCCCGGTGTCTCACTTCATTTGAATGTATGGTTATATGTGAAAGTCCAAATGTTTATTTCAGAAAACTCAAAAGACACCAAAAGTCAACTTTTTCGAAATTCTGGATATTTGTTGAGACTTTTGGTATTCATTGATTTTTTTGAAATAAACATCCAGGTTTTCACATTGTCACCACACGTTCAACTAAAACGAGGGACAAAACAGAAAAATCATCCGGAAATACCCATCTGGAAGCCTCTGCTGAGCCGCTGTTAACCGTGCTTGAAACGGCGAAAGGGCGTTGCCTGCCAAGTTCTCTCTATATGGTGTCTGCTCTTCCTCCTTATCACCTCGCTCTCACAAGCGGAAATGGAGAAAGCTAGTAGTGGAACAACCGCACCACCAGGAAGCATTCTGAAATAGAATGTGGGCGTTACGGTGGACAGTGGGTGGGGCGATGGCTTCACCGCGAAGTCTCAGGATCTGTGAACCGCGGGGCCTTCCTCTTCCTTCTTTTTTCTTTGCTTATTTTCCTTCCTTTCTTCTCTCATCCTCACTTATTTTCCTTCCTCTAAATGCTCGAACAGAAGATGCGATGAAGAAACACCTCTGGACCCTCACAGCGAGAGAGCATCAGGTTGACAGATGTCTTGTAACCCATCGCGAACGGCTTGCATCTCCCTCATGTATTTTGAGCGGCGAAAGTAGTACATCCATGATTGCGAACTGAACCACCTTGTGCAGCGAAGGCGTCTGTTCATCAAAAGAGCGCAAAGCGTGCCTTAAGGCGCCAGACCTCATCTTTCACTCCAGTGTTCTACCGCTCCATATAGGTGGCCGCTCGAAATGAAACAGGTGTCATTTTTTGCGTATAATTTCTCCCACATCGCTGGCACGCTATGTTGACAAAGCAAAAATGTCCCCCTTCCCTAGAGGAACCTTATTTTCACTAATTCATTTGTGAGAATTTCACGAAAACGTTTAGATTTTCTGGTATTGGATGTCATATTCCGTCTTTCTATACTGGATCCTTGCACGAAGCCATCAAAGAGGCTTTCGAATCGCCTGGGTATTCTTATACTCTTGTTTCATACTTTTCTGTTTCTAGACTATGATTTGTAAGAGTATCCGATTCTCTATTATATTCAGGGGCATTTCGGAACGTCGGCCTCTTGCTTTATATATTCACCATGATGGCAGCATTGCCGCTAATATTTTCCCATCCAAGGTTCGCTCTCCTCACTTAAAGTTGGTGGTTCTCACTTCGTTTGCTTGAGTTTCATTGCTCTTAAGGTCTTATGTAGTGATGCTGTGTCTAATCTATTGAGATGTCAGTACATTTTGTGGCCATGGGATATCACTCATAAGTAAGTTCATTTAATTTACGATGTGGTATGATATAGTTAGGGATCGCTTACCAACGTTTGAAAAACCGCAGAATCTCTCTGCCATATTCTAGGGAAAATGAGGTGAAACTTCGAGAATGGCTAGAAATGGTAGGAATGTCCGAGGCTCGTCGCACATTGGAGTCAGTGGTGTATGATAAAGAAAAATTTCCTCTTCTTGTTATAATCACCAAGGATCGTGGCTCATACAACGTCAATGATATTTGTACTGGTGAGTATATCGTATTATTGCATTTTCTTGGACTATTTGCGCATAAGATCTGCCAGCTATCTGAGAACTTATCCTCTGACGCTCAGCTTATGTGAGCAAGTAGTATCATGCGTAAATGAAAAAACCTGATAAGTTTCATTTAGGTATGGACAGTGCGGATATTGTGATGGAAAAGTTAATGGCGGGTATAGATACATATACAACTATTAGAAATACTGAAAAAACCGAAGAGGCAGCTCGATTGGAGAGGGAGAGAATTAGACAAGAACAAGCACATGAGTACGTTTTCCATTGCTTCTCTTTTCTGTTTCTGTAAAATATCCATTTTCTCGAAATTGAGAGTTGTAACGAAATGAGTGGAGGTGTCTGAGAATAGTTTTTTTCCGAATTCCCCTTAGACACAGTCCATGATTATCACCTGTATCACCTGTGCTCCCGTTGATCATCGAGTTCCTCGAGCGGGCGCCAGTAACGTCTCCATTCGTCCCTGCAACGTGCAAGAGTTGCCCAATGAACTCTCTCAGCTCGAGGGACACGATGAACTTCATACCATTCGTTCAGAGCTTTCACGAAGAAGTCTGACCATCGCATAGGCGGTCGTCCAGGCGTTCGCTTGACATCCCGTGGAATCCAGTCGGTGACGCTCTGGTCCAGCGGTCGTCCTCGAAACGCATGACGTGTCCGGCCCACCTGATCTTCGAAACCTTGGCAAATGCGGCGGCGTCTCTGATCTTCGATCGTCGGCGGAGTGCGGAGCTCCCTCTCTCACTTGCGTGTAGCGGGAAACTCCGAGCATCGCCCTTTCGATGGCGCGTTGAATAACGCCGACCGCATGCTCATCCTGCTTTCGTAGAGTCCAAGTCTCTGAGGCGTACGTCAAGGCAGGAAGGACCGCGGAATCGAAGAGGTGGGCACGGAGCTTGGTGTTCTTCGTCTTCTTCGCTACTCCCTCGATGTTCTTGAAGGCTCCCCAAGCCGCTCGCTTCCTCCTGCTCAGCTCTGGAGCTAGGTCATTCATCATATTGATTTCACGACCTAGGTACACATAGCTAGAGCATTCAGAGATGGTCGTTCCGTTGAGCGTGAATGGGGCATCAGATACCAATCCGTTTCTCATGAACATCGTCTTCGTTAGATTCAGCCGTAGACCGATTTTTCCACACGCGCAGTCGAATTCAGCCAGCATTCGTTCCGCTTGCTCGATGTTTGGTGTTATCAAAACGATGTCGTCAGCAAAGCGGAGATGGTGTAGTTGCCGACCGTCGATCTTCACTCCCATGTCTTCCCATTCCAGTTGACGCATGACGTTCTCGAGAGAGGCGCTGAAGAGCTTGGGCGAGATGGTGTCGCCCTGTCGGACCCCTCTCTTCACATCAATGATGATCTCCTTGTAGAATGGTGAATCTTGGTCGTGAAGTTGCTGTAGAGCTCACGAAGAATCCTGATGTACTGAGTAGGAATACCCTGGTTGCCCAGGGCTTCGATAACCGCTTCTGTCTCAACGGAGTCGAAGGCTTTCTTCAAGTCGATGAACGTGAGACATAGCGGCATCTTGTACTCTCGCGATACTTCGATGAGCTTCGTTACCGTGTGGATGTGATCGATCGTGCTGAATCCTCTTCGAAACCCTGCTTGCTCGCATGGCTGTCCTTCGTCTAGTGTTCTGCCAATCCTGGATGACTCGTGTGAAGAGTTTGTAGACTACAGACAGCAGGCAGATTGGGCGATAATTGCCAATGTCGTACAGGTCTCCCTTCTTGTACAGCAACACAGTCTTGCTGGTTTTCCACGAGGTGGGTACCTTGCATTCCGACAGGTAGCGCGTGAAGAGTCGAGCCAGAGTTTTGACAAGAACTGGCGGAAGATTCTTCAGATGTTCGGGTCTGATCCTGTCGGGACCGGGTGCCGTACGATTCTTCACCGACGAGATGGCGTGTCGGACTTCGGAAGAGAGAACTGCAGGAACGACATATCCATCCTGCTCCAAGCGGTATGGTTGCAGGTGGACGTGGCTGTCAAAGAGATCCGAGTAGAAGTCGTGGATGACCTTCTCCATTGCCCTTCTGGATGCGGTGATTGTTCCATCCGGACGTCGGAGGGCGGTCATCTTGGTCTTACAGTTGGCGAAGTCGCGGCGGGCGTTGCGTATGCTCTTCCCAGCCTCTGCGGCTTCCACCAGTACTGCTGCTCTTCTCTCCTTGAGGTCTTCCTTTATCGCTTCTCTGCATAGCTTCGCAAGCTCAGACGTCAGCTGGTAATTGCCTGCGGCTCGTGCGGCTCCACGTTGGCGAATCAGCTCGAGAGTTTCCAGAGATAGACGCTTCTTGGTAATCTTGGAACCCTCTGACTTCTTGGCGCAGTCGTGAAGATGTGCAACAAGCCGTTCGTATTCCTCGTCGATGTTGTCGATGACAGAATCCTCCCAGAGCCCAGCGAGAGAAGTGAAGTGATCCCAGTTGATGAGGTCTTGGGGCTTCGCTTCTTGAACTTTGCGGCTCTCTCTCCTCGCATCGAAAAGCGGAATCTTGCGCGAAGGAGACGATGGTCGGATCCCGTGTAGAACTTAGGGACAACAGCGACATCGGTCAGGCAAAACCTTCGATTGCAGATGATGTGGTCGATCTCGTTATGGAATTGTCCACCAGGAGACTCCCATGTCCAGCGTAGAGAGTAGGGCTTCTGGAACTGCGAGTTACCATGGATGGTATGGGTCGACATGATAAACTCAGACAGCCTTTCACCCTGCTCATTCCACTCCGTTCCGTGAGTTCCGATGTGAAGTTCTTCAGCCGTTCTTCTTGGTCCGATCTTAGCGTTGAAATCACCGACGATGACCTTGAAGAAGGTATGATCTTCCTTGTAGAACTTCTCCAATTCCATATAGAACGCTTCGAGCTCATCCTCGTCGTAGCTTGATGTTGGTGCGTAGGCGACGAAGATTGTCAAAGCTGGAGTTGAACCACATCTTCTCAATCGCAAACGTCCGATTCGGGTCGTCAGATTTTCGTACGAATCGATGTTCATGGCCAAGTGCGTGTTGACGAGGACGCCCACACCGCCAACGCCTCTGCTGTCGCATGTTCCGAGGAACAGTTCTTCTCCAGTCTCGTATACGGCGTGTAGCGGGCGATGCCTCCTCGTCTCGGTCAGTCCGATGACGTCGTACTTGATCTTCCTGGCTTGCAACATCAGATCTTCGATGTGAGCTTCCGATGCAAGCGTCCGTGCGTTGAAAGTACAGATCGTCATCCTAGTCCTGGGCGACTTCAAATCTCCGTTGGCCCTGTGATTTTAGCAGCCTCGCCCGAGCGGTCCCAGCCGACGTCGCCCTGTCGGTGGTTCCCTCAGGCTTCAGGGGAATGAGGCCCATAGTTGTTACTGTTTTCGGCGAGAAGAAATTTAACCACGCGTAGCTCGCCAGGCTCTGACGTGGCACCCTCCGCATTGGTACGTTTTTGGAACAGTCCAAAACCGTTCACCCCCACGCCACGATGAGGCTGCGGATAGGATTTGTGGGGGGGGGCATGATTATATGATAGGATAAGTGGCTCAAGGACGATAAGGGCGTCGTGGCCGTACAAGCGAGCCGCCCGTAAAGGTTGCCTCACCCATCAGGGGACAAGATACGCCAATGATCCCCTGTCTGTAAACACAGATGTGACGCGCAGCGTTCGCTGTGTGAGAAACCCGTCCTTGTTTAGGTGGTTTCCCGGCTTGTCTTGCTGTTCTATCATCTTTATCTGTGGTTGCTCGCTTAGACAGCAGTAGGTTGCCTCATCAAACGCTCATCCAGTACAGAGCTTCATTTAAAAACAGTTCCCGCGATCAAGTATCACTAATAGTTGCTGTTCAATTATGAACCAGTAGCTGATAAGTGATTCCCTCATGAAGAAAAAAGCAAGAAGAACTCCAAGAACACCATAAACAAAATCGCTTCCTGACAGTCACACCGCCCTGCGGTCTCTGTGCAATCCTGGCTCACAAATCGTTTTTTGCATCTTCCAGTACCGTGTGCCTTCCAATTAAACAAAAGGAAACAAAAACACTGGAGCAAAACTCGTAACAGAAAGAAACTTTCGAAAACCGTGCGTGAGAATTTAGGATTACGGCAAGCGCTGCATGTCGAGCTTTTGCACCACGAAATTGCATCAATGGTGATTTGAAGAAGTCCTACCTTGCCATATGGTTTGCTGTTGGCTACATGGGCTCCTAGTGAAGAACATGTCATAAGGAAGCGCAGAATTACTCATGAGCACGAGCGTGAACGGCAAAAATGGACACGCAGTTCGGATTTATGCCCACCTTTCCTACAGACAACTGAGCGCCTCTGCGTTAGGAGTGAAGAGGACTTTCGTTGGATAGGCGGTCCAACTGAGCGGGTGTTGGAACTAGAACTTCAACAGCAGAAGCAACTTCTCGCGAAAGTGGAACAGTCGCTTAGCATGAAGGCTGGGATGTGTGCACAAGGAAGGTCAACCATATATTCTTTGAGCTATTGGTCTGTCTTTGAAGCGCCTTTGACTGGTTTGGCCGTTTTTTCTTTTGTTGTAGACAAAATGGTGGAACACTAGGCTGTGGATTGCAGTCTCGCAGCAGTGAAATGTAGTCTGATTGGGAAATTTGTAGCTAATATGTTAAGTATTTTTTTTAGCTTACGCTCTTTCTTGTTGCAGATACGAGATGTCACTGGCAGCTGACAAAGCCCGAATGCAAGCAAAGGAACGTGAGTTGAGGGAGCAAAGAGAAGAAGAGGAGAGAAAACTACGAGAAGCTGAAGAAACAGAAATAAAGCAAGCCACGCGAATTTCCGTTATTTTCCTATGCTTACGCCTATTCTGAGAGTTTTAGACGTCAGCTATTAGCTAGCGAACTACCGGATGAACCAGCTGAAGGCGAACGAAATGCAATTATGGTGAAATTTCGATTGCCTGGAAGTGAGCAGGTGGGTAACAAATCGCTCATGTTAAAGTAGCTCTTCCCCATCGTTGTGTTCCGCAAAATGCATGTCTTTAGGTCATACGTCGCTTCCGCTCTACGGAGAAATTGTCGGTGTTAATAAAGTTCCTTGGAGCTAAGGGATACTGTGCGAAGGATTATCGTTTCTTCAATTCAGATTTTCCTAAGAAAGATGTAAGTTAGCTTTCCCATCCCAGGTTCCGATCAATTTTGTGAATTTTTTCTGCATAGGTGACTACATTGGACGACTCGAAAACGTTTATGGAACTGAATTGGCCCGTACGTGAGCAGATATTCGTTGAAGAGCGCTGATGTGATTTCATGTCTTGCACCCATCTCTCAACTCATCTTTCCTTTAAGAACTCTTTCTATCATTATCATCTAGAAATCTTTCTCAGTGTGACACATTTTCCTTATATTCAGTGTTATTCCCCTTCCCAGTACTCCGCTGCATCCACACTACCCTTGCGTGGGTCTTTAATATGGGTATGCGGCCACTGCCGCGCTGTATGTGCTGAACGGTAACTTCTGCCGTCGTTACAATTATTCTCATTACTATCCTTTTATGTGGAGTAGTAATGTGACTTCTATATCCTAATAGCGCTGAATGTGACGGACGTCGCGCTTTCTATTGTCCCTTGCCTCATGATTTACTATCTACAGGGCAGCTCTTTTGGAGGCTGATTTTTGGAAGTACTACTTCTTTCCACATTTAAAAAAATGGATAGGCATACTTTTCCAGTGAACTAAAACAGCTGAGGTTCGTAGTGCAGTGGGTTGTACTGCCTTCTGAGATTCGTTGGATGAAGGCTATTAAACCTTGTTTCCAATAGTAGCAAGTCGGTGAATTGCCGGACATAATAGTCCGGCAATTCACCGACTTAGAATGAAGTTTGAGACTTTTTCTGAAAGCATTTTTTAGGGTATATAAAGGCAGGTCAAAAATAAGTTCTGTAATAGAAACGATTAAAGTACTTACATCGGTTTTTCACGAAACTTCTTTGGTTTCACATCTATATGCTGCGATTACGGAGAAGGGCTCAGAATTTCAAATAATTGGGTTCTCGGTGTTGTTATTCTACCCTAATTTTATACATTTTTTTCTTCTGGAAGTTTTGTAAAATACGGCAGGATTTATCGGATGTCTAGCATGGGCGCAGGGCGCCGTTCGGCGACGCAGAGGGGGCATTTCGCAGTTTCGTTGCTCCACTGATTCCGGTTTGCATACCTTACACTGATGAAACCCGTGAACTTGTGTGAAGCTGAGCAAGCTCATCGAGCCACCACGGCGAAACTTGTCAACTCACGGGAGAACTCTCTAGATGGGTCGACAGGTTCATGGGAAGTAGCAAAAGTGCAAAATGCCCCCCCCGTCGCCGATTTGCGCCTGGGCGCAGTTAATCTGAACTTATTAGCACTAACTAATCAACGGTAACAGAGGCAGTTTTGTTTAGTGCACGGTACGGTAGCTTTTTACGTCTATTTCGGAGCATTTTAAATGCCTGAAACAGGTTTTGAAATTCCTGTGGCTACTGATCAAAGTAATTTTATTCGAGCATTTTCCGAGAATTCACCTCCAAATGAGCTCCTCTGTATGATGATCTTTCGGTATTTCGATGCACCAGCCCGGTGTTACACGTACAGTGACATATTTTTCCCCCTCTGTGCGTTTAAGACATCGTGTCACATGAATATCCCTGTTGGTTTTCTCTCTCCTCATTACTAGTTGCTGTGCAACTGACAGCTTACTGCTACTGAACATGTAACATAATTCTGTTTAAAGCATAAAATGTTTGCACTTTTTATTGTGATACAAAGGTGTGGGCAGGACAGTGGATTTCAGAGGTCAAGAGCCCTGGAGAATCGACGCTAGCGACGCAGAAAGCTAGCTAGGCACAAATGGATGTAGTTTGCGACATCCGAGTGGCGGTATCGCGCCGAACCAGCAACCTAAGCTAAGTTCAGGGAAGAGGCTCCAAATAGTTTCCCGAAAATGCGCGTAAATGTGTCGGGCCGAGAACGCACACAACTGTGCCTACCTCAAGCCGGTTTAGTTACCCGAGCTATTAGCCCGGGGTATGGGCGGAAGCTCCAGGGAGCCAGGAAGTGAGAGCGACACCAGTCCTGCTCTCCACCCCAGCCAGGGGGCACCCGGGCGCGACCAGCGTGGTGGAACCTAGTGCCTCCACCCGCAGCCTAGAACACCGCTTTCCACCTGTCCTATGCAAACTCGTGATTCAATCCTACGGTAGGCCCAAGTGTGTGCGTCTACGGCCGAACATTTATGGGAAACTACATCCACCCTGTTTTTTGGACATATAATCTTCTGCCAGCAACTATTTCCAGTTACTTGAAAGCTTGTTTAGCGTTCATTTAATGTTCAGGCGCTTTGTCTGGATAGATTTTGTTTGGGACATTAGAGGGCGGTATCGCGCCGGACCAGCAAACAAGATATGTTCAGGGAAGAGGGTGCATATGGTACCCCAAAAAATGTGCGTGGAACTAAATGTGTCGGGTCGTGAACGCACATTCACTGGTAACGCTGCCCAAACGTTGAGGATGTACTACTTTCGCAGGTCAAAAATACTTCAGGAAAGCATTAAACGCTAGCGATGGGGGTGACGCTCCGCCCGCTCCCTAAGGCGACACCCAGCTCTCATTTCGAAGGATTCCTAATGGAGGAAACGGACAAGATAATCGTAATTTGTCGCGAACTCATGCGCGGGAGGGGTGTGATGTGCGTCAGTTTATCGATCGAAGCACCGTAACACTCACGAATTCAAGAGAAAGGCACGTCTCTATAACCGGTGGTATCGAGATTTCTCATTCCTGTAACACTCGTATTCAAACGGCGACGTGGGCAAGCAGGACTACTTGTTTGTCAGGTGCGGCATTGCTCGGCACGAACACGAGTGCGGCATATTACGATTGTCTTGTGAGATAATCCTGGATGGTGCAATTGTTTTGCTACTAGCTTCAAATGGTAAGAGTGAAGTGACCAGGGGAAAAGGTGGTGCCACGAAGTGAAAAGTCGTCTAAACGCGGCCTCTCTTCTCCTTATAAAATTACAACTTCGGTACAGTATGCTGCCCAGTGTTCAACTTTCCATTTTCCACGGGCGGCGCTAGTCGAACATTTCGAGGCAAATAAT